TGTGTGTGTAAGCATGTATGAATGTATGTATGTACGTACGCATGTATATATATATATATGTATGTATGTATGTTTGTATATATACACTACCCGCGGAAATTAAAGCACTTCTCACGCCTTCGAAAAATTGATAAACTTTAAATGAGTGTAACCTCTACAAAAATTGTTAAATTATTAAATAATTAAATTATTAAAAATTTAATCTTTATCCACACACACACACACACACACACACACACACACACACACACACACACATTATATAGAGGGGCAGTGTATGAGACTTTTTTCATTCAATCGTAATCTTTTACGGATAATAAGACATGAGAATAAAAGAATATATATGTCGAAAATCGATCAAGTTAAAAGGGTATCATCCCTTGTCATCAAGTTCACTAAGTCTCCCATTATCGAGAGAAAAAGTTAGATATTGAAAATGTCCTGGGAAAAAAACATTAAAATCGCCAACGTGTTCATCAATACCATTAAAATATAAGCCATAAAATATTGAATTGTCCGGAAAGTTCGTGCCGATATTGAAGGAAAATTTAAACGCAGAAAATTTAAATTTTATTGGGAGTACAAATAAGTTTCCGCCGTTTTTTTATAAAAAATTAAGCATTTATTGTGAAAGAACGGTACATAATGTTTTATTCAAAGTAATGGCCATCGCTAGCCACTACTTTTTCCCATCTTTCTGATAGCATGTGGATACCGCATCAGAAGAACGCTTCATCTTTTGAGGCTATCCAATCATCGATACAACTTTTGGTATCTTCATGATGTGAAGTGTTGCTCAGACAGGCCATGCGTCATCGATCGGAACAAGTGGTAGTCGGAAGGAGCAATGTCTGGAGAATACGGCGGGTGGAGTAAAACTTCCCATTTGAGTATTTCTAAGTAGGTTTTGACCGGCGCCGCAACATGTGGTCGAGCATTATCATGCAGGAGAATAATTTTGTCATGCCTGGAGTAGTAATGAGCGCGTTTTTCCTTGACTGCTCGGCTCAATCTCATCAATTGTGTTCGGTAGAGAGCCCCAGTAATGATCTCGTTCGGTTTGAGCAATTCATAATACACGACACCAAGCTGATCCCACCAAATACACAACATGAGTTTTTTTCCATGAATATTCGGCTTGACTGTCGATGTTGAAACATGGCCAGATGGTCCCCATTTCCTCTTCTTTGGATTATCATAGTAGATCCATTTTTCATCACCAGTAACTATACGATGCAAAAACCCCTTTCGTTTATATCTGGCAAGCAGCATTTCACATATGAAAAATCGGCGTTCAACGTTTCTCGGCTTTAGTTCGTATGGAATCCAATTCCCTTACTTTTGAAGCATTCCCAATGATTTCAAATGATATGAAATTGTTTATTGAGTCACTCCTAATGTAAGTGCAAATTCTTTTTGCGCTTGGCACGAATCTTCATCCAATAATGCTTCCAATTCCGCGTCTTCGTACACTTTCGGCCTTCCGCTACGTTCTTTGTCTTCGACGTCAAATTCACCATTCTTAAACTTGTAAAACTACTCACGATAATTTCTCTCACTTAAGGCAGGATCACCATATGCTTCTACAAGCAATCTATGATCCTCAGCTGCAAATTTCTTCAAATTAAAGAAGTAAATCAAAAGTTCCCGCAAATGACGTTTATTCGGCTCAAAACTCGACATTTTCATACAAAAAAAAGT